TAGTGCAGAAATTATAAAGCAGAAAAAGTACAAATAAAATAATGCCAAATTTTTATGCGGAAAACCTCAAAGGAAAGAAAACACGGGAGTGACGGGACTTAGTCCAGGCAAATCAAAGTCACTATTAAGTGAAGGTTTACAAACCTAGGTCTCATATTCTAACCGTAAAATCATCTAGTTACCCCTAACCTAAACTCACGTCAGATGAACTCTGTTGTTTCCAGTCAATGAACTACTCACACGATCCGCTCTTTAATATGTGCTTTGATTTCCTGAATGGCAGTCCAATTTTTGGTGGTTGTGTGGATTTTGTTGTGGTGTTGAAATCCTTGGAACTCTTTGATTTGCGTCTTTAACACTACAAGTCGTTCACCATCTATATGCATGGTAATGAATGAAAGGAAAAAAAAATCTAGCAATGTAGATGCACTCAGATATGATTTTCAATGTCATAGAATGCTAAGTATTTGTCTACGGGATGCGTTCCCCTTTTGAACGCTCTCTAATACATTTTTACTTATCAAAAAAAAAAGAATGCTCTATGTATGCTTGCCTAGTTTTTGTTAATAATTATGGTCAAGAACTCTGACGCAAGGAAGGATTAGGGTTTAAGTGATTAAAACTTAAAAATAAAAAATAAAAAGAAAAAATAAAAACTCTTCCGCAGACTTTAAATCATCAAGACATACGTCTGATCAATTGAGCCTAGTCAAGTGAGCTTCACTAGATCGAGAAATTGATCGAATTTCCATATCATAGTTCCTTTAGGATTTTAATTGAATGGAAACAAATTAATGAAATCTAAAACGCAATTTAGAAATCAAAACATGCAGATTTCCCTAACATGTTTAATCATACATACGAAAACTAATTTGTGGAGCGCACAATTCTGAGAATCGAATTTATCTTTTTCCCCTTGTCAACATTCAGTCTTATGAAAACATAAAGAAAAACTGAAAATGACATTACAGACTCCGATTTGTACAAAATTTATCAGCCTAAGTCCTATTGATCTAACAGCTACAAGCCAATGAGCTATAATGTTGAGACTCGCTCCTTTTATTGAACATTACCAACATGAAATTCAATTAGTTCCGAACTTTCTTTTTTGAACTAAGTGAAAAAAATATCACTTTCACTTGAAATTCAGCCGTCTTACTCTCTATTTCCCGAAGGGAGCAAAAATACAATTTCACTATAAAATCACAGGACCGATTTTCCATTACAAGATCCTGATAGATACCAAAATTCTTCTAAGGATTGACATAGGGTTCCCGAGCTGAAACCTAAGTGAAAGCTTACCATGCTCCCTCTAAAGAAATTATTATTACCCAAAACTGGATGCTAATTTAGTTCCTCCATTTACATTGTGATATCTAATCTATTTTAGTTCAATCCAAAAACTACTGTTGATCACTTTATTACCAGCATGTCGCCCTAGTGGCTTAGTATAACATTTTAGCTGAAACCTGAACGAAAGCTAACCATGCCCCCTCTGAAGAAATTATTATTAGTTCAACCCCCAAAATTGTATGCTAGTTCAGTTCCTCCATTTTACATTGTGATATCTAATCTCTTTTAGGTCAATCCAAATTTTTTTGGCCAAAAGGAAAAAAGAAGACATGAAGGTCAAACCCTCTTGTCCAAATTGCTGAATCTTGTGGCATTTTTTTATTAGAAAGCCCAATGTTCACTAAGCTTTAGCTTGTTCTACTAGGAATGTTCACTAAGCTCTAGCTTGCTTTACTAGGAACGTTCACCAAGCTCTAGCTTGCCCTACTAGGAAGTGACTGAACTTAGCAATGCTATTGGGACCCAAGATCACCTGGTAATTTGCTTAAGTTTATACAAAAAAAAAAAAAAAAGAAAAAAAAAAAAAATCACCAAGGGACAAGAAATACCTATTTGAAGGTCAAACCTGTGTTGTAAATTGCAGAAGTGATAAGTTAGATGACCACAGTACCCAAGCTCCATTAAGAAGAAACTTGACTGAGCCACGACACACTTGCATAACCAAAACAGGAATTCGATTATGAAAAGAAACATGCTTCAGACTTTTTACAATTAGGAAAGTTTTTAAACTTTTAATCACAACAAAACTGTAAAAAAAGTCCGGTTTCTTGCCCACTTTTATCCATCAGAATCTTAACAACAAACCTTCCTCTGAATTTTAAAAAACTTTGATTCTTCCAGATTTATTTATTTATTTTTCCTAGTTGGGATTCACACACACTGCCTCCGCTGAGGTTCGAACCAAGTGTGTCGTGGTTGAAGAAGAATAGAAAGGCTCATAAATTTAAAACAAGCTCATTAAATATATTTTTCCATTGGAAAAAGAATAATACTTATGAATCTTAACGAAATATCCGTCTTTTGTTTGAAAGGTAGCTATTGAGGAATACCCTAGGCTCTAATAGGGGGTGAGTAGGTCTCAAAAACTAAATAACTAGGTTTAACCAAAATAAATCAAATTATAACGAATCTAAGCAAGTAAAAATAGGCATAGCTCAGAAAATACAAGGCAGAATAAGTGCCAAGTTTAACCAAAATAAATCAAATTATAACAAATTGAAGCAAGTAAAAATAGGCATAGTGCAGAAATTATAAAGCAGAAAAAGTACAAATAAAATAATGCCAAATTTTTATGCGGAAAACCTCAAAGGAAAGAAAACACGGGAGTGACGGGACTTAGTCCAGGCAAATCAAAGTCACTATTAAGTGAAGGTTTACAAACCTAGGTCTCATATTCTAACCGTAAAATCATCTAGTTACCCCTAACCTAAACTCACGTCAGATGAACTCTGTTGTTTCCAGTCAATGAACTACTCACACGATCCGCTCTTTAATATGTGCTTTGATTTCCTGAATGGCAGTCCAATTTTTGGTGGTTGTGTGGATTTTGTTGTGGTGTTGAAATCCTTGGAACTCTTTGATTTGCGTCTTTAACACTACAAGTCGTTCACCATCTATATGCATGGTAATGAATGAAAGGAAAAAAAAATCTAGCAATGTAGATGCACTCAGATATGATTTTCAATGTCATAGAATGCTAAGTATTTGTCTACGGGATGCGTTCCCCTTTTGAACGCTCTCTAATACATTTTTACTTATCAAAAAAAAAAGAATGCTCTATGTATGCTTGCCTAGTTTTTGTTAATAATTATGGTCAAGAACTCTGACGCAAGGAAGGATTAGGGTTTAAGTGATTAAAACTTAAAAATAAAAAATAAAAAGAAAAAATAAAAACTCTTCCGCAGACTTTAAATCATCAAGACATACGTCTGATCAATTGAGCCTAGTCAAGTGAGCTTCACTAGATCGAGAAATTGATCGAATTTCCATATCATAGTTCCTTTAGGATTTTAATTGAATGGAAACAAATTAATGAAATCTAAAACGCAATTTAGAAATCAAAACATGCAGATTTCCCTAACATGTTTAATCATACATACGAAAACTAATTTGTGGAGCGCACAATTCTGAGAATCGAATTTATCTTTTTCCCCTTGTCAACATTCAGTCTTATGAAAACATAAAGAAAAACTGAAAATGACATTACAGACTCCGATTTGTACAAAATTTATCAGCCTAAGTCCTATTGATCTAACAGCTACAAGCCAATGAGCTATAATGTTGAGACTCGCTCCTTTTATTGAACATTACCAACATGAAATTCAATTAGTTCCGAACTTTCTTTTTTGAACTAAGTGAAAAAAATATCACTTTCACTTGAAATTCAGCCGTCTTACTCTCTATTTCCCGAAGGGAGCAAAAATACAATTTCACTATAAAATCACAGGACCGATTTTCCATTACAAGATCCTGATAGATACCAAAATTCTTCTAAGGATTGACATAGGGTTCCCGAGCTGAAACCTAAGTGAAAGCTTACCATGCTCCCTCTAAAGAAATTATTATTACCCAAAACTGGATGCTAATTTAGTTCCTCCATTTACATTGTGATATCTAATCTATTTTAGTTCAATCCAAAAACTACTGTTGATCACTTTATTACCAGCATGTCGCCCTAGTGGCTTAGTATAACATTTTAGCTGAAACCTGAACGAAAGCTAACCATGCCCCCTCTGAAGAAATTATTATTAGTTCAACCCCCAAAATTGTATGCTAGTTCAGTTCCTCCATTTTACATTGTGATATCTAATCTCTTTTAGGTCAATCCAAATTTTTTTGGCCAAAAGGAAAAAAGAAGACATGAAGGTCAAACCCTCTTGTCCAAATTGCTGAATCTTGTGGCATTTTTTTATTAGAAAGCCCAATGTTCACTAAGCTTTAGCTTGTTCTACTAGGAATGTTCACTAAGCTCTAGCTTGCTTTACTAGGAATGTTCACTAAGCTCTAGCTTGCCCTACTAGGAAGTGACTGAACTTAGCAATGCTATTGGGACCCAAGATCACCTGGTAATTTGCTTAAGTTTATACAAAAAAAAAAAAAAGAAAAAAAAAAAAAATCACCAAGGGACAAGAAATACCTATTTGAAGGTCAAACCTGTGTTGTAAATTGCAGAAGTGATAAGTTAGATGACCACAGTACCCAAGCTCCATTAAGAAGAAACTTGACTGAGCCACGACACACTTGCATAACCAAAACAGGAATTCGATTATGAAAAGAAACATGCTTCAGACTTTTTACAATTAGGAAAGTTTTTAAACTTTTAATCACAACAAAACTGTAAAAAAAGTCCGGTTTCTTGCCCACTTTTATCCATCAGAATCTTAACAACAAACCTTCCTCTGAATTTTAAAAAACTTTGATTCTTCCAGATTTATTTATTTATTTTTCCTAGTTGGGATTCACACACACTGCCTCCGCTGAGGTTCGAACCCCTAATCTCCCTTTGGGAAGTAGGAGCCTTGTAATGCTAGGCCACAGGCCTGGTATTTGCAATTGAAATTAAAATTTTAAAATTGATGCACAAAATGTGAACAAGAAGAATGAATTTGCATCATGAAGCCTAAAAGAGTACTTCCAATAAAGCAAACCTCGGCATTGGTTACAATATGAGCTCCAGCTTCCCTAGCAGCATTACTAATAGCCAAAGATACTGAGCCCATTCCACCTTCAACATACCTACAAGAAATATCAGTTCTCAAGTATATATGTTGTCTATGCGAAAGTGTACAATGTGATAGAACACATTCAACTACGCTTCTCAACAATAGTTAACAGCGATCCAGATCAACACTCCAAACTAAAACAGTTTAAAGCTGAAAGTACTTTTGTGGAAGTGAGAATTATTAAATTAATTTTGTATCACATAAGAAATGAACAGCAATTAGCATACAGACTCAACGAAAGCATAGTCTATATTATGGATCCTAAGTGAAGATTTAAATGTTGATATTGTTAAAGAGACCTTCCAAATAACATAATTCACAACAGAATCAGCTGGGCTAGGAACCACATAATGTAGTTGCAAACACTGGTAAATGTACAAAATTTAACCCGGAAATTTAAGAGGGTCATCAAAAAAATGTTTGCACATAGAAAATTCAAAGCATACTCCAATATTTATATGGTGGATACATATATCTTGATATATAGAGTAAAGGAGAGAGATATTTGAGAACCAAAGCAATATGCCATTCCTTGGGAAATTTTAGGGGAACAACGAAAATAATGTCACTTGTTTGTTTGAGATATGTGCACATAATTCACATGCCAATTAAATATCAAAACTTCACCAAAGATCCCAATATATTCTCCCAAAATACCGGAATTTGACAGGCAGTTAATTCAGTTATGTACATTATAAAACATACTCAACATCAAGTCTGCAACTAAGATACGTACGACCAAATTCCACGATCACCATCAGTTTCTCCCATCACGTGATGAAGCAGAACATATCCACTCCCAGGAGTATTGACACTCCCCTGCAATACAATTGAGGACAGCTGGCTTATTAGTTCTGTAAATTTGTAGAAAATGCCATACTTCAATCAAAGTCTAATGAGCCCTGTGACAAATACTAGTAAATCTTCGGACAGTAACATTTCTGTTCATGAATGTCCACACCAGCCTTATGAATAAGACAGGAAAAAGGGGAAAAGAGGTAGATGGTGACAAGAATAAGATTTCAATTATAATGCTATAGCTTCTCAAAAAAATCTTGAAGAGTATACACATGTACATTACACAAATATACCTAACTAATTGGTTTTTTTGGCATGGACAGGTCACATATGAAGACATTACCAATTTGTACAAGTGTATATTTCAAACAGAAGGACTCTGGTACAGCCTAATGTGTTACTTGATACCCATTAATACTCACCCAATGTACAAAACAGAGAACTGAAAGGTCTAAATGACATATATCACACAGGAATTGCACAATACCATAGTTTTGATATTTCCTTGGTGTGCATACATGAAAAAGAGAGTATTAGGGGATACACATTTCTTTAATAACAAAAACTAAAACAAAAAACAAAATTCAAATATTAAAATAAAAGTGTAATGAGACAAGAATTTTTAGATTATGAAGTTTTAAAATTTACTATAACAATGACAACAGACAAAACTTTCTCCCACACCTCCTTTTTTCCGGGTCTAAGACCAGCTGTATATGAGGCACTATATATGACACAGACTACTTTTAAAATTTACGGAAAATTGAATGCAATTGGCTTAGGCCCCAAACCTACTACCATAACAAGGCCAATAACTAGTCTAAATGGATCACCCCATAGATCGTGCATTGGTAGTTATTTATTTATTTAATTTATTTTTTTATTTTTCATTTAACCATTCTCATTAGGCCATTATCATTTGGGTGAAATGGAAAGGTACAAAATTAATATTTAAAATATCATTTTGCTAGGCCAAGACCAAAAAAGACGGAAAATAGACCGAAATTCTCATTGCAAAAGTTCCCCAACATAATAATATGATCATTTTAAAAAGTTTTGCGCTAGAATTTTCCTCCAAAATCAGTTTGTCTTCTCTACTGAACAAAAGGATAAAACTACAAACTAGAAGAAAATAATCCGCAACTAGCAGTCCCATGGATTTTTCCCGACATAGGGATCAAACTAAAGCAAGTGTATTTTAGGAAAAAATTCAGACAGCCCATAACTAGCGAATTTCAACATGATGAATAAGAATCTTACCGTGGTCCCTATTACGGCATCCGTTGCAAGTGTTGCCTTCAGAACATCAGCCTGTAGTTATTCACATGAATGAACATCACTAAATTGGTAACATGGAAACTCGTCAATTGAACCCCACAAATTTAGTTAACACACACACACACAAGGTAGTGGTCAAAAACATTTTTAGACATGTAAAAATTAATTCCCTACATTGAAATATAACATAAGCTCAGAAATATAAGATTCAAGGTGATGCAACACAAAAATAACAACAGGAAATACAAATGGAAATACAATGCCTTCCAATAATTCATTTACCCTTCCAATGAATATTAAAAGATCAAATTAAATGCTGCAAATTAACATTTCCAACAACTTTTAGATAAATTTTGGAATGAGATTAGACAAGATTGGATGAAAAAAATGTAAACTTGAACTAATGAGGAATAAAATGAGCACTTCTTTGCCATTGTGATGCTGGAATATATATATATATATGGATATATGGACACAACAATCCACAAAGTCAAATGATAAATAACAAGAGCATTAAAATCGTGTAATAACCTCAAACCAGTTATTCAAGACCTTCGATGCAGGGGACACTAGGAGGTCCACAAAGTCCCTGAAATATAAACTGATACAAGTTAGGAAAGGATGAGAACACCACTCACAAATCATAAGTTACTTAAGTTAATGAATCCATATGGAATTCTTTTAATAGGTTAATGAATTTGTATGGACTTGATCAATGCAGGTATACATAGTTTACGGTGCATTGCTTCTGGTTGGTAATAACAAAAAGAAACCAAAGACTTAACACGTTAACAATAAAAGGACCCAAGTTAGGAATATGGAGAGAGAAACCTCTTACACAATATCTTTTTGTCCCAAGGCAAGAGCCCGCCTCATACAACGAGTCCAAAAAACTGATTTCGTTATCTTTTCGTTCATCTTGACATTAAAAGAAAATTCGCCTTGCAAAGTTTCAGGAGGGGGCGAATCCAAAAGCGGATCCATGAATTTACAGAAGTTCTCCAGCTGATTCTCGTATCTGTGTGTTAAAAGACAATGCATAAAGTAAATAATAAATAGAGTAGTAAACATAATTCATAAGAAAATCAAGATTCAGGCGCTCAAGAATAGAGATGTGAAACTATTCAATATGCATTTATAATCAAACATTTTCAAATTTCAACTTTTATGATCTAAAACTAAAGCAGTTAAAACTTCTTATCTATTCCTTTGCTTTACATATGCTGATTTTTCTGTTATTTTCCATTCGGTTATTTGTGCTAATGTTCTCATAATCCTTCAAGTAGGCTCTGAAACTGAAGTTACACATTCAGCAAATCATTACACTTGGTCAAAACATCACATTATATTTGCAGCTTTTATGAATTTTATCTACAATCATCACTGGCAACTACATTCACTTGTCTCCGTATGGTATTACATCTTGAATAGCTCGGGAACAATACAAAAATATCTGTGCACTTTCTGAAATCACCTGATTCCAGCTGACAGAGTTTTCTTCTGTCCATATTCTACGTCAGATATATTGCTTGATTAATACAACCACTGGGCTTATAAGTTCTGTGGCTCTCCCTTGCAAGAAAAACTACATTATGGCCTAGAACTAATGTAAATAGTCTATCATGCATCTAAATAAAATTGGATACATAATCATCTCTCATTTTGAGAAGGATCCAATCAACATATACTTAGGAGCTGTCCTATGATAAGGAAACCATTTATTACATGGTTCATATATATTCAGGAAAAGTGAATTTATGTGGCCGACCTATTCATATTAGATTAAGGCAAAGATGAAGATAACGGATTAATTCAATGGTACTTCTTCAGGGTTCCGAGAACATATAATTAAACTTGCAGGATTCCGAGGACATCTATACTCAGTTTTATAGCATGGAATTTGTATCTTGCACTATTTTGTTTTTCAATTTCAATTCCAAGACACTAATATATATATATATATATATATATATATACACACATTTGTAACTCTAAGGGCAGAGAATTAGGATGCACGTGTTGAATATGTGTCTGTAACTACTCTATATACGCATTATACATGTAGAGATTATATATATGTATATATAACCACAGAGAGAAATCAATAGAACCTCGGATAAGCATCGGCGTCCAGTTTCGAGAACTTTGAAATCTCTGAATGGTTGAGTTCTTTATCAGGACCCAATAGAAGATACCGGCCATCAATACAAGGTGTGAATGATGAAGGACTCCTTTTCAATAACTTCAATCCGTGTCTCGCTAACTCTAGTTCTCTTTTCACAACATCGTAACCAAGAAATCAATAACAAACAGACTAATCAAAAACTTCAAAGAAAAAAAAAAATCGTGATTGGTGAAGATTGAAGACTAATAAATAATAAACCATAATTAGTACAAATGATACATAAAATTATTTAGCAATCGAGAAATCAAAGAACAAACAGTGACTGATAAAAAACTGAAAAAAAAAAAAAATTGTGATTAGTGAAGATTGAATATTAATAAAGGATAATTAGTACAAATGATGCATAAAATTATTTAGTAATCAAGAAATCAAAAGAACAAACAGTGACTAATAAAAAAGCTGAAAAAAAAAAAAAAAAAAAATTGTGATTAGTGAAGATTGGATATTAATAAAGGATAATTAGTACAAATGATGCATAAAATAATTTAGTAATCAATAAATCAAAAGAACAAACAGTGACTAATAAAAAAGCTGAAAAAAAAAAAAAAATTGTAATTAGTGAAGATTGAATATTAATAAAGGATAATTAGTACAAATGATGCATAAAATTATTTAGTAATCAAGAAATCAAAAGAACAAACAGTGACTAATAAAAAACTGAAAAGAAAAAAAAAAAAAAAATTGTGATTGGCAAAGATTGAATATTAATAAACGATAATTAGCACAAATGATACATAAAATTATTTTAGTGGAATGCGGGGACTATACTTGATAACGCAGGGGCGGAGGAGGCTTTGGAGGTAGCTGCAGCGAGAGAATTTGAAACCGGGGATGAGTTCCTCGGTGACGGCGGCGCCACCAACGAGGTGGCGGCGCTCGAGGACGGCGACGGAGAGGCCGGAGCGAGCGAGGTAGGCGGCGGCGGTGAGGCCATTATGGCCTCCGCCGATCACCAACGCGTCCCATTTCTTCTCCTTCAACGCCCGCGCGGAGGTCGCGCTGCTGCTGAAGTTTCTTCGCCACATTTCTCTCTCACACACACAGACGCACTTCCTCTCTCACACAGTGGCTCACAAACTCAGTTGGTCTTACTGCTGATTTGTGTGTCAAAGCTTAGTCAGCTTGTCCGTTTCTTTGCTGAACGCCGGTAATTTTGTCCTCTACGTTTGTTAGGGCTCTCTCTTACACCTGTGTAAGCACTTGGTTCAATTTCAATTGCTTACACGCACGGAGTATAACAATGAAGGAGTTGAGTCTATAAGTTAAACTAATTTAAAGAAAGTTTAAAAATGGAATTGTTTTGATATAAGAAAATTTTATTAAGGTTTAAAAATTGTTCCGTTTTGAAATACATAATATCTCTCCTCTTATTTATTTTTAAGATTAGAAATTTTGTAATTTAGATTTTTTTAAAAAAAGTGAACGAGGTTATAGGCACCAAAAATAATAGGAAAGAACATTTATTTTTGGCTATTTTCCTATAGTGAGAATGAGCAAGAGAAAAGAGAGGATAGATTTTTTTTGGAAAAGATGAGGGAGAGAGAATGAAACTTTCTTTAAATTAGTTAGCGTGTTTAACACAAGCAGTAAATAGATTTTAAATGTCACATGTTAATCTGTAAAGAATTCAACTTAGGATAACTTATAAAATATTTAACTTAAAAAATTCAAGTCCAGTTATTTGTCTAGTTGCATTTGGTGTTTTTTTTATCAATTGTATAAACAAAAATCTCATTTTCGCTTTGTTTAAATGTAAAATGTTTTTTTTTAATTATTTTAATTTTTTAGTATTTAATTGTCATAAAATATTTAAGAAAAAATTAAAATGTAATAAAAATAATTTACTTATCAATTTACAAGTTATTTTATTCTAGAAATCACAATAGGTGTACTAGTAATTGTTTGGTTAAAAAGAGAAATATCAGCAGCCAATCTCTGCTATTAGGTGAAGGGTTCTTTGAACGGAGAGAACAAAGTATTCCCTCTGAACTTTTGAGTCTCTTGACTCATGATTTCTTGTATCCCTAATTCAATCTTATTCTTGTTCCAAATATTAAAACATTTCATATTCTTTCTGCCTATTGAGTTTATGGCTCTTTGAAGTGGAGGAAGCATTCCAACAAAGTCTTTGATTTTGAACATTGCTATTTCAAAGACAATGATTGTGATCTTGAGACCTTAAAATAGGTTAAATGTATAAAAATGAATGAAATTCATTAACAATTTTTTATTTTTTTTTGCTGTTATGCTTGGAAGTATTTTTTATTTATTATTATTATTATTTTTTCTATTATGCTTTATTCACTGTTATGTTTTTGCTTTTATAAAGCAACTTATTTTGATTGTCATGTTTGGATTAATTTATGCATTTTTATAAAAGCAGATTATATTTATTGTAATGGACTCATATTTGATTCACTATTTTGTCTTTTTGTTTGCATGAAGTTTATTTAAAACATATATTTACTATTATAAATTAATATTTTATAAGTTTATAATGCAGTGCTCCCGCTCTAAGATTTTTTTTGAAATATGCCGTTTTTGCTCTTGCTGTATGTAACTTAGATCAAACCAAGACCTTTATCAAATACAAAAAATTAAAAATTAAAAAAAAATAACCTGAAAAAATATATATTATTCAAATAGAATAATTTACGTCAAAACAAATAGGGCTTGGGCTTTTTTTCAAGGTGTAAGCACTGGTTCAAAATTTTAATTTGTTTCAATTGTTTTGTGTGAGGAAAAAAAAGAAAAAAAAAAGGACCTAGTTTCAAAGAAAAGTCCTTGATAATTCTCTAAAAATTGTTTTTTGAATTTATGTAGTGTCTTAGTCATTCTTTCAAAAAAGTGAGAAGATTTTTAAAAAAATAAAATAAATGAATAGTTTAATTAATGATAACCCATTTTGCTCGTTCGTTATTAGAAATTTTTTTTTTCTTTTATCCTTGCCAATCATGAAATAAAACCATTATCATAAAGAATTATTTCTTTGTCAATAATTCAAACACAAAAAAATAAGTTAAAATTATCTTTCTTGGGTAAAGTGCAAAAACCCCCCCTAAACTATTGGTCATTTCGCATAAAACCCCCATGATCTAATAATTTGGCATATAACCCCCTGAACTAACCATTTTGTTGTGATCAGCGGTTGAATTTGACCGTGAAGAAGCACGTGACGGGTCACGTGACAACTTAAATTTCTTGAAATGACCATACAACCCTTTATGAAGCTAAAAGACCACAATGCCCCTTTTAGTACATTAAATCCCAAATACGTCATAATCCTAAACTCATTCATCATCCTCCTTGATCAAGTCTCTCTCCATAAATTCCTCATTCGTGGCTAAGTGGAAATTGAATTCCGTGGCACTATTTTCCTCGATCAAATCCCAAATAAGTTAGAACCTATAAAACTGGTGAGCTCAGCTGGATTGAATCGGCGGTCGACGAACAAGGGAGGGCTAGGCTGTGGAGAAATCGCCCGGTGGAGACGATAGCAAAGAGCTCGAATGGTGGAGCTCTGATCGGCGAAGTTGGTGGAGATGGACGACGGGCAAGAATCGGCCGGTTGCGGAGAGCTTGGCTGTTGGCTTGGCCGTGGAGAGCTTGGCGCGGTGAGCAGCGGGTTGTGATGGTGAACTCGCGACTGCTGTGATGGTGAACTCACGACAAGTTCATGCTTCATCACCAATTTCACAACTCCGATTGCTTGCTTTGTATCGACACATCTTCTGGTGCTCAGCCTCGCCACCGCCACTGCCAATTCAACCACCACCTTCTCTATTATCTTGGAACCCAAATAATTCATAGCGTAAAACCCAAATAATTCTATCGCCAGAATATAGCGTTGTTGCTGGGTCGTGGAGCGGCAATGGTGGTGGCGACGCTGATTTGGTTGTGATGGGTTTGGTTGTGTAGATGTCATGATGACGCCGATTTGGCTGTGTTTGGTTTTGCTGTGCAAATGTGGTGGCGACGCTAATTTGGCTATGATGGTTTTTGTTGTGTAAAAGTGGTGGTCATTCACCTAAACGATCTGTAGCAACCACTGCGGTGGCGGTCTGAGGTAGTGGTTGTTGGTGAGGATGGCGGTGGTGATGGCACAAGTTGTGGCGGTTGTTAATTTGCCGGAAATATGGTATTGTTGTTGGTGATTAGGGAGCAGAATGGTGGCGGTGACGCAATTTGGTTGCTTTTGGGTTTTGTTGCGTACACTTACGGCCACTGCCGGCGACGACTTGTAATGGTCGATAGTTGCGATAAAGGTGGAGATAGAGATCCATATATAGATATAGCGTCCTCTCCATTGCCGGCCGGAGATGTCACATAGGAGTTGTTTAGCAAATGATGGTTGCTGAAATTTTTAGTGAAACGACGCAGTTTTATATAAGGGGTAAAATTATCTTTCACTAATTCCATCATAATCAATTGGCCGGCAATGTCACATTGGGAGGTTAATTGCAAAAATTCAATGGGCAAATTGTAGTTCAGGCAAGTTAATTACGAATGGCCAATACTTTGGTGTTTTTTTTTTTTCTCCCTCCTTGTACAAACTCACTCTTACACTGGATTGTTTATAAATGTGTAAACCGAGTGTGACAAAACAACTTTTTTTGTTTGTTTGTTTTTTTTACAAGGGAGGCACCGTGTGACAAAACAACTGATTTAAATAATAATGAAATTATAACAGATAAAAACATACATAAATCCTAGTTATTAAATTTGTTAAAAGTACGCATTATTAGCAGGAACATTTTTTTATCACTTGCGAAAGTTCTCACCCTTGATCTTGAAACTCGACTCCTACATACATACATACATATATATATATATCCACCTCAAAAGTTAAGATGACTACAATTCAAATTAAGATTTAATTTCTAAAACTCTTTCACCAAAATATCTATATATTAATAAATTCTCAATTCTTCTCAAATATTTTTCAATTTACCAATTCCTACAAAGTCACTCTTCAATGTTCGAGGATACTCGTCACTATATAACACTCCATACGTATTTTCTTATTATTTAGTCCTTTCATTAATAAAATAAAAACACATAAGGCATAAAAACATACAAGGCATAACAGAAGAAAAATGTTGTATGTTTGAAATAATTTAATGGTGAACATTAAAAAAAAAAAAACCGAACATATCCTTATTAGTATTTTTTCCTTTTCTTTCTTTTATGCCATTTTTTTAAAAAAACATTTTGTAAACGAAAAGCAAATTATATATCTTTATGTTTAGGAACACATATTTTTCTTACACCTTATTTTACTAACTATGACATACCACAGGCATATTGAGTTACAAATATGGGCTCATTGAGTATTTATTTTAAAAATATTTTATAAGGAAAATATTTTACTCGGAGCCTAAGTGAACAGTTGATGGGAAAAATGGATCTCCTCGTCAGAGAACAAGTGATGCTTACTGTTGACAAAATGAATTTGACCGGCCTACCTTTGTCCCAGTGGATTTGGGCCTTAACTCCCAAACTCTAGCTCAAGGTTTCAAGACCGGCAGAGAGAGAAGAAAGGGGGAGGGATTTGGGTCTTAACTCCACCAGGATGTGATCCACTCCCACACATATACAGCCCTCTAACAGGTGTTCGGAAACCTGACCTGCGACCAAAATATCTGACACATTTTATTCATGATTGATGAGTTCAAATGATATAAATACAGTTCAAACTAAAATCATCCATGGAAAATCCGTGCTAGTCAGACTCAGAAGTATGAAGAAATCAAGCTGAAATTTACCATCCCTCGACAGGTCGCATCAAGAATATTGAATCCAAACCCATAGCACCGTGAAAAATGTTTCACCCTATCAAGTTATATAAACAATAAATAAATCAAAGTTTATAATTAAAAATATTACTTATTTTTTTCTGGTTTTTATGCATTTAACAAGAGACTAGTACATTTTTTCCCTATAAATAACTAGTACATTTTCCCCATAGAATCATTTAATTTTAACATAAGCTGACTACCTTATAGCATATAAGTTGCTTAATTCTTAGCATTGCAAGTCCCAAACTGCATACTTTGTAGTTTTGAGATTATAAAAAATCGGAACTTTCCCATGCTAGGCCGGCTGACTTATATGGGTGTAATAGCAGAATACCTGTCAGACCAATCACCCTTTCCAGATCTGGTGGTGTCAACATGTCATAGCTGATAACTGATGAGCTGAAGCCAGGGGCATATTCATCAATCATCGTGAAACATTGTTGTGCATATGATTCCTACGAGGACAGGGAATAAAAATATTAGATGCCAACAAAGTGTGCATGTAGTCAAAACATTAGAGGATATGCCACTTGTATAAACATAAGAAATTTTTACGGTCAGACATATCACTAGCGAAAGAAAAGGGTATTATGCATTGTCACACAACCCCCAACCCACAATAAATTGCTTGGATAGATTTTAATTTACCCTGTATGCAGGATCCTCCCAGCTACCATCTGAGGTTTGTAAGGCATTTATTGCGTAAATAAACTGATCATGTGCTAATCTACAAGAACATGGCAAGATTTGTACAATATAAAGTATGAACCAATGATTTTACAAACAGAAGCTTTGTCCATTAGTTTACTATAGCCCCATATTTGATGCGGAAAGCATTTGCGTAAGAACAATAATGATGCATTATGAGGAGAAAAATAATATTGAAGCATAAAATGGAAGGAAAAAAAGATTAATCAATTATATACATAATTTAGTTTCACATACATATCCCTCTTGTTTCTAACATCTAAGAAGAAATCCCCTCATATTTTGGACAAGTTATTTTAGAGAACTGGTCAAGTTTCAGAAATAACAGACACTCAAGCTGTCTTCACCTAATATCAATTTAAATATGTATATCCAGATCAACTTCAACTCAACTCTACCCAATAAAGCTTTCTCCCATTATTTGGATTCAGCTACATTAGTCTTCTAAGCCACTCAGCTCCATCTAAGACCATAGTTTCTCTAAATCACGCACCGGATGTCTTCTCATTCCCTCAACCTACATCCTCTTGGCATTCTCATGTCCTTGAAAAACCTTAAAACTTGAATCATAGCCGTCCTCCTTGCTGGTCTTACTCCTCATTATTGTACACAGCACGGCCTTCTTAACCTATCTCATCTTGTCCTTCAATTGTCCCACCTAAATCTTTTTCACACATATTAATTTATAATTATATATTTTGTTTTGCACCATTCATCTTAAGCTTTGCATTTCAAACTCATTTCAGAAACAGCCTGAGTTAAAAACCTAAAGAAAATAATGAGGTTGATCTGCACTTCCTAGATATGTGAGACACCTCACAGAAATAACAGGTGAGGGAGCATAACCTAGATTGACTCATTCCTATGAAGGGTCAAAACCCTCAATTTAGATCCATTTCTCTCTCTCTAACCAGTTCCCTTCATCTCTCTTCTCCATCTAATCTACTCATTTATCCCTTTGTTTTGTTTAGCTTCCCTTTACCAACCACAATCTAACAGCTCTCTCTCTCTCTCTCTCTCTCTCTCTGACCAGTTCCCTTCATCTCTCTTCCCCATCTTATCTACTCATTCATCCCTTTGTTTTGTTTAGATTCCCTTCACCAACCCAATCATAAACAGGGGTATATTGGAAGAATCAGTTTAAATTCCACATAGTTCCACTATTAAACTAATCTAACTAAATTCGGGAAAAGGAATGATTATTTAATTACTGCATGCCATGTCTGCAACCAAACAGCAGAATGCATCATTAGATATGGCTGCAACCAAAAAAATGGAACAAGAATGAGCATTCTATTCATGCAGCATTTCTATTTCATTCCATACTGAACTCTGTTTCTACTTTCTTCCATTCTTCTGTAATGTTGTAACAGCCATAAGGTCCCAGGGCGGGGAAGAAAAATGAGGAAAAAAAAAGAAAAAGAAAGAGTTCCTTAACTTCTATAATTGATTTTCTACTTTCTGTTTTTAAAAAATGTAAAACTTTGATGCGTCAAACTAAATATCGGCCTCTTAATATACATAAGTTGCTGTGAAAGAACAGACAAATGCATCAGGACATTAAGTGCATCATACCAGGGGAGAAATAGTCTTGTCCAATGAAGAAGGAATTGTCATCACCATAACAGGTCTTCGTGATGGTAAGCCCATTCCAAGCATCTTGACAAGCTAAGCCAATTTCATCCATGAGTGAGAAGAGAATAGTAAGAAAGCAGAAAATCATCCACAGATGCCAAAAATTTAAGTTTAAGGAAACTAAAATAAGCTTAGAATGGAATTAGGTACATGCTTTATTGTTAAGGTGTGAAGTTCCATTACACCCCTAACTGATATATCTAAATAACTTGAACTGTAGCATTTCCGATAAACAAAAAACTCATTATGCTAGCATTTGAGGCGAAATGGTATGAATTCTGAAGGATAATCAGAGTAATTCTAGGCTCAGAGTCAGAGTAAGTGAACGTCGCGATCTAGACCTAGAGGGGGTGAATATGTCATGCTAAACAATAACGAACTTTAAAAGAAATTCAAATTTTGAACTACTATTAGTTGTAATTTGAATAACCATATAAGTAAGTCATAACCATTATGTTTGCAAATATGAAGCAAGTAAATAAAGAAAACATCCATATTACATGAACACATGATTTTTACATGGAAAACCCCATAAGAGAAAAAGCATGGGACTTAGTTCAGACAGATCAAATCTGCTATGAGAAAAGGTTTACAACTAGGTTAACGAGATTCTAAACCAAATAATCCCCTAGTTACCTCTAAACTAGACTCAAACTGGATGTTCTCCTCAAACTCTGTTGCTGCATATCAGCAAAATCGCTCCTCATGCGATCCACTCCTCCTTTAACACATTGATCTCCATGACTAGTATCGCTCGTTCTTCTTAGGTGCATCGAAGATACTTCTGGTGTTGAATAATCCTTGTAGCACTTGGATTATTTGTAGTTCACACTTAAATCATGCTCATCCTCTACATGTTTGATGACAAACAACACCCCCCCCCCCCCCCCCCCCCCCCCAAAAAAAAAAAACAAAAATGGAAAGAAAAGAAAATTCTAGCAATTGAATTGCTGCAATATATTCAATATGCCTGAGTTATGCTTGCTTCGATTGTGCATATGTTTTCTAAGAACATTGTGTGTTTATCTAGAGCAAAGAAGCACAGAATATGTAGGGATAAAGAGAGTTTGAATCCTATTATTATTATTATTTCATCAAGGAAAAAAGAGTTTGAATCCTTTTTCGAAACTCAATTTTCATAGGTTTCGCTCAATCAAACAAGCTATCAATCGATTGAAAGTACTCCAGTGGCTTTCACTTGATCCATCAACAAATTGAAGAAGCCCTGTCCTGGATTTTTTAGGATTTCAAAATAGAAACTTCAAAAAACTATTTTATGCATTCCAAAAGAGGTTTTAATGAATCAAAAAATATAATTTGAAAACCCTAACAAGTTGAATGATATGAATGCAATATATATGAATCCTAATTTGGTGAATGTATAATTGAGAGTTGTAACTACCTTTTGCCCTCAGTTGTACCTCAAAATTGCAAATTTACCCTTGGATAGAGGAAACTCAACTAACATAACTAACTTTTGAAACACTAATTAAAAGCAAAAATAAAATACAGACTTACTTATAAAAAATAAATAAAATACAGACTCAGAGTTTGAACGAAATTAGTCAACTAAGTCCTATTGACCTAAAAAGGTCAAATCATACTGTAATCACCATCTTTGTCATTCAGGCCTTGTTCCCACATCATTGCATCATCTACGCGAGTTCTGATATGTCTTTCTACCCCAATTGAAATATGATGTAAAATAATCTGGCTACAGTTTTGGGCCAGCACCTGTCTCTCAGCATGACTTAGCTTTATCCTCATCTAGAATTTCTTCTATGTGATGCAAATTGAAACTGACCACTCATGCTAAAGAGAATGGTAACTTTAATATCTGAAGCAAAAAAACTTCTAATGTTTATTAACATCATCATCAACATCTAAGTCTTTCAGGACAGCTAATCTGTTGTTTCCCTATACCTGAACAAGTTGTAAGAGAACTGAGAAGCTCTCAACCAGCTGTCAGTTCCCCTTATTATGTGATTGGTTTAGAAATTAGGAAAAGTAGAAGTAGAGATGAGTAATAAATTCTTTCCTTCATATTATGAGGACATTGGTAGGTCCGAAAAACAGATGGGGCCAAAACTAGCCCTCAAAATATAAAATTGAATATAAGTGAAAAAAAGGCAAAATAACACTGACCCATTAGCATAGTCGCACAACTTTCATAGCCGATATGAATGATAGCTGAATGATGAGGACCCACCCTGGATGATCCAACTCGCAACAAGGGAACAGGGGCAATGAATCAACAGCTACATTAATTTTTGTTGTTCCCAGTTTCAGCAACAGCAATATGAAACTGAGCTTCAGTTACCGCCAATAAACAAACTTTTCCATCCATGGAATTAAAAATAGACACACACATAAATAAAATTCCCTGAAAGCTTAATAAATGCAATTGTAGTTCACATCACCTATACAAATATAATATTTGTACTTTAATTGTTGAGTTGACTTGAGTTTTAATGATTGAATGAAAATTCTGATTGGCAGAGAAAAAATCATCCTTTGATGATCAAGAACGAAATTGGAAGGTTGTAAAGCAAATGTAGTAACTACAAACAGTGCCGATTGGGAATGGAGTAAATATAAACATTTGGCCAATCGGTATCACCAATTCTGATATTACTGAAGAAAAATCAAAGTCAGAAATTATCATTTAACACCTCTCAACCTATCAATAACATCACTCTTATTTATATATTCCCAGGATATGACCCCAAGAAAATTGTAAATTGCTATTTTGGAGTCCGTGATTATCCTTATCCACATGATAGTTTATAGGTTTGTAAAAATCTGAGACTCAAAATCTTTTCCAAACATAACAACGCATGTGCCAATTGGGCTCTAGATGACATTAATATCAATTTTTTTTTTCCTACTCGTCAGATGTGTTGGCTGACCTGTTGGGAGAATATCATAAGAAGTGATTTTAGCCTAGGATAGAATATTGATGGGAGTGATTTGATTCTAGGAATCCTCCATTAATGTATTTCCATATTTATCTCTTATATTCTTTCACTTATAAAAAAAGAGGTGCTCATTGTAACCAATATTAAGAGAGAATAATAAAAGTGATGTAGCCCTTTGGGCTTTGTGTGCCGTGGATGTAGGCCGTAGTGGCCGAACCATGTTATATTCTTGTGTTCTTCATATTTAATTTCTCTCTTCAATTTTTTTATTCCTTTCAACATCCCCCTCAGGTAAGTAGTTGCACCCTGGATTTTCATTTAGAGTAGTACTGAAAGGAAAAAAAAAATTAAAATTAAAAGGAACCTTTGCCAGAAATGAGCAGACAAAAATCAAGAATTATGTTTACCGTGTATTAATAAAAGTAAGTTGTTAGCAAACAGATCGTACAGAATTGTAATCAGAGTACTTAATGGCACGAACAAAGTCATCTGGCAGAGCATTTGGAGGCACTAGTTCCTGCACAAGAAAGCAAAGCCCTTGATCAAAACATAATCTATTAACAATAGCACGTTTAATAGCCAACATAAATGTGCTTTTTCCATTTTTTATGATACAAGTAAAAAATTGCTTATGGTTCCATGCTGCTTCTGGACATGAACAAAAAGAAAAGCAACGTTGAAGTCTTTACCAAGAAAGTCTTATAGGGAGTTGCATTAGACAAGACAACAGAAGAATACACACGTGTCCCATCAGCCAGCAATACCTAGGATTTCAAAATATATGCCAAAAAGGATCAAGTCTGTTTTGATGAAAGATTCAAATCACTTAGCTGAAGAAATTTAAAGAGTGAACTGACCCCGTTTACTTTGCCGGAGTCTTCAATCATCAATTGCAGAGCCTATAGAGAAAGGTAAGTAATAAAAATTGGAGAGAAATTTCTAAATAGTGAACCTAACTGTGGGACAGGAGAATGAAGAAAGAACTGAAAAAATGAATCCTAGGTGTTGGCTGCTTTACATGCTTCTACTGGTTCGAGAGTGAGATCAACACCTTCCATGCGTAATCATGATTTCTAGTTATTGGATGGTAAATAGGTTTAACTAAAAAGGCTGTTTTTTATGTTCATTTCTGTCCTCTATATTAACCTTGATTTTAAGAAGATTTGAATGACAATAACACTTAAAATTGTTAGAATTATGAAGGGAACCCACAACCTCAGTAAAAAATTACCATCAACTGAAAAGAAAAGAAAAAAAAAAAAGCCTCATAAAAAATTAAATAGTTACTCCTAAAATGCAACATAAGGTTTTAAGTTTCGAAAAAAAATTCAAATTTAAAGATATGATTTCCATTATTACCCATTTAAAAATGTCAATAAAATTTTAAATGAAATCATTATCTGCATGAAACTTCCAGTAATTTTAAAAAATTTGAACAAATCCTGGAATAAAGGAAATATGGAATTTTATAATAACTTTCACTGACAGGTAGTCGAACCAAAACCTGATGGATGAATGAAATATCAGGTTGTAAGTCATTGCTTGAAGAGAAATATCTTTTATCTTTCTTTTCTTTTCTTTTTCACTTTTTATATTCAATGAAAAAAGTATATTCATGAGCATAGTTACCATTAAGGATGAAAGGATGATTACCACAAGAATACATCTGTGCTAGTTACAATATGAGCCCCAGCTTCCCTAGCAGCCTTACTTATAGCCAAGGATACAGAACCCATCCCACCTTCAACGTGCCTACAATGACTGTGGGTCATATACCTAACAACATTCAATGATATGCCTACCAGAAGTAATATCTTTATGGTCTGAAAGTGTTATCTCAAATTGACCCAAGTAAGAGAAATTAATATAATGTATGTATCCCAGGAAAAGCGTCCGTACACAATTTTTCATTCAATGGATTGAGGAATTTTAAAGGCTCCAAGCCGAGGATGGTAGGATCAGAAGAAATGCGAGAACATGTAACAGAACAAAGTAAACAGATAGCTGAACAACTTGAGGAACTTAAATCTATTATAATCACAAAGCAAGCCATCAGGTATTATATGTGTAATTGAATTACTGCAACCATTAATGCTTTGAATTGCTCCAACCATTAATACTCCAACCATCAGCAGCAAGCCGGTATGGTAGGACTTATAAATTTTCTCCAAAGTGGAATGAAGAAAGTTAAGAGTTGTATCATGAATTATATCCGTAATGAACCAGAAAGGAAGACAACCATTTGATTCATATAGCAGCATTCTGTTCAAAAATTGTATCCTGAATGAAAGGCCAACAATATTCATTTGAGATGACACTTGATACACATTACATGCATGGGATGATGGTAATCAATATATGTGTGTGGTGTATGTATATAATTATATCTTGATACGAAGTTGACAGTTTGCTCTTCGTGATACATGGTTAACAAATTTTCCACTACATAAACTTCAGAAAAGAAGACACTTACAACCAAATATTGCGATCACCATCAGTTTCACCCATTACAAGATATAGAAGAACATAGCCACTCCCAGGTGTATGGATACTTGCCTATAGTCAACTTAAAATGCCATGTATATTAGAATAACAGATGCAATAATCAATTAAACCAGCAGCCATTGACACAATTGAGAAACTCATCCAAACCTCATTGGAGCATTTCTTTTTGTTAATGAAACAACTTTACTAGCATATTTACAAGGGAAAAAAAAAAAAATAATAATACTATCAAGCAATAGGATCATCATTCAAGCCATTCTAATGAACTCTTGATCCGCAACAGAAAGAACATCTAAGCTACATAAAGAGAGGAAAGGGAATGAATCCATTGATTATCCTAACATAAATTCCTGTCTGCAAGTGCATAGGAAGTACTGATAGAAGAATAGGTTAAACAAATTTACAACTCCCTGTAGATGATGCAATTCTGATGTTGCCATTGCAGTAAAAAGCTAATACACTATCTAACTTCATTAAACAAGTCAACACAGATGACATACCCACCTTCTTACCACTTATTTTTTACAAGAACATCCAATCATTTAAACAATAAGATTTGTGCATTGGAAGGGTTTAACACAGGAATCAAGGTGAGGAAGAGAGGAAACAAAAATTGTAATTTCAATATTTTCTCCAGAGTCAATTTCCATTGACTGCCACAAAAATGGTTTAAAGTTGATATAATCCCAACGCACATTCATTGTTTAACAAGAATAAGAGTCTTACCATACTTCCAATGATAGCATCCCTTGCGAGTGTTTGCTTCATCAAATCCGTCCGTATATATTATTTACCAAAATTGGTGGGAAGCATCATTCAGATGACAACTTCTGAAATTCAGTGTTCAAATTACATGTTTAAAACTCCACTAATATACCAAAAAGGGCATGAAGCAAATGACAGCATAAAAAATAAAAACCAAAATTATTTGATCTGTTGAGAGCTCTCACATAGAAGATTTTCTGTACAATGCTGCATGAATAATATATCAGTTGCATATACAATAGAATTAAATTGGGTACTCAAACAGAAGATTCAGCATGTATGCTGATATCAATGAAACGCGACAAAAATGCTTTGGCCATGTGCATCGAACATCAATTAAGGTAAGAAAGAATGGCATGGTCCACTTTGAGGGTAATGATAAGAGAAAGAGATAACTTGAGTTGAAATAGTAATGAAATAGATAGTCTTGTTTAACTGAAATCATGACTTTAAATAGAGCATAATTGTGGAATAAGATTCAGGTAGCCATCCCCAAATAGTTGGGACCATGGTTATTAGAAGCAGATGCAGATGTGGTGCATCGGACGTGGTGCCATATTGGGCATAACATAATAGAGTCAGGCGTCACAGTTATCAATTCTTTTAACATTGCAAATAGGGCACAAAATGCACTGATACACGATTTTTTACTTCAAACTTTAACATATTGATGAACTACAATTGGTATTTGAATCTGTGGAGGAGATGCCACTCAAGCTGGTACTGGTGATAGAACTCTACATTTTTTTATAAATTATATCAAAATTATATGGGTTAAGTGCATTAAATCCCCCTGAACATTTTTCTCTTTCTCAAAAAACCCCCTGAACTATGAGAAAGACACTTAACCCCCTAAACTATTCAGTTTGTTGCAAAATATTAGTTAGCCGTTTGAAATCTAACGGAAAAGAAACATGTGACTAGGCAAAAATTCAGAAAGACAAAAATAACCTTATAGTTATTAAATGAATATTATATATACACGCGCGTGTTCCAAAATCTCTCTTTGCCCCCTTCGAACCACCTGTTCAGCCATGGACAACACCTCCACTGTCCGTCCATGGCTGCTGCTGCCACCGCTCTCTCTCCCTCACAATCACTTCCACCGTCAACAACCGCCACCACCCCCTCTCTCTCTCTCCAAACCACCGCCCTCTCTTTTTTATTTTTTATTTTTTCTCTTTAACCTTCAACCCCAGCAATGACTAGAACGACGAAAAGGTGGAAAATCCTTGAACAAAAAATTGTTTTGTTGCAAAGGTCGATGTTTGGAGGGGAATTGATTGAAAGAATAACACTAATTTTTTTGGGCAGTTGGGATTGGGTTGGTTTGGTGATCGGCGACAACACGTAACAGGTTAATCCAGTTAAAAAATGAAAGTACCGAGCCTAAAATCATTTTTCACTTCTTCCCTCTGTCTCTCTCTCTCTCTCTCTCTCTGGTCCCCTGCCTTAATCAATCTCCGTATTTTCTCTCTCTAATCACCAGCATCAATCAATCTCCACCCTCTAAATCTTCATATTTTGATTAGTGTCTATGAGTAAATATAATTACATAGAAAACCTATAATGAATCCACACATTGATGGAGTAGAGATTGAGAACCAATTCAACAATTCCTTCTTCTTTTTTTTCACATGCTTTAAGGCCTAGTCCTCGTCTCCATTGCCTTTGCCGAATAACTCATCCACCTCGGCACTGGTTTGTCGAGCAGAAACTTTTGTGGTGTATTTTGATCGAATTTGTAGAACAATAGATTGACAATTTAGCTTTGAGGTGTGACAGAGAGAGAATGAGAAAGAAGAAAAAGGGTGGTGGGGAGTGGGGAACGATGGTGAAGATACAGATGGAAAGGGTGGGGGAGGCGTTAGGGTTAGCTAGGGGGGGAGAGGTGTGTTAGTCTCCATAAGAAAAATTATTGATGATAGGATGACTTGTTAAATTTTCATTGGATAGGGAGATTACAATGGCCAAATCAGTAATTGAAGTTGGATATCTATGATACGGCATCATTTAATTAATGGGCAAAACAGTAATTTTATTTTTTGGTTAACAGTTGTTTGACACCGTAGGGTTAAGTGCAACACTTTTATAATTGAGGGGGTATTTTTTAATTCAGGAGGTTTCTTGCAATTGGCTCATAGTTGAGGGGGTTTAATGCACTTAACCCAAATTATATTATATGCTTTGTAATTACAAATTTCAAATAAACTGTTGCAAGCAACATATGCATATGGAAATAACATTAAAAGTTTACTAATTTGAAATAGAATCAAACATTATGTTTTCTGGACATACAATATTTTAATAGGACATTCTACTAGAACATCTGTCTACTTTAAATCATCAAAAGAGAGCGAAATGATGTGAAATCATGGGCGCAAGATTTGATAAGCTATGCCATACCATCATTTTACATCCAAAAGATAACAAACAAAACATGACCACATAATTAAGAAGCATGATGACCTCAAACCAGTTATTCAAAAACCTTTGATGTTGGGGACAATAGAAGGTCCATAAAATCCCTGACAAAGCAAAGTAAAATGCATCACCAAAAGCTAGGTTAGTAAACAACTAATCTCTGTGTGTGTGTGTGTTTGTGTTTTCCCCATTCAAGCTGATTTCCAAAATTTTATGGCAATCACAAAAAATGGAACTTCTATGATTATCAAAGCAAAACACTACTACTTACACCATATCTTTCTGCCCCAAGGAGAGAAACTGCCGTAGGCACCGACTCCAAAAAACTGATTTTTTCAACTTATCCCTCAACCGGTCCTTAAAAGATGAAACCTCATACAATGTTTCGGGAGGAGGCGAATCCAAAAGAAAGTCCGTCACCTTACAAAATTTATGCAGCTGATCTTCATATCTATACCACAATACACACAAGACTAAATGAGTGTTCTCTATAACAAACTCTGAGGCATAGTACTTTAATTATTATAGTGACATTGAATTATCATTTGGAATGAATTTAGACAATTGAACCTTGGATAAGCATCTGCATCATGCTTCGAAAACTTCGAAATTTAAGAATAATTCTGCTCTGGATTTGACCCCAAAAGAAGAAAATGCCCATCAAGACAGGGTGTGAAGGATGAAATCTTGGGCTTCAACAACTTCAATCCATGTCTAACTAACTCTAATTCCCTTTATGATACCAAATAAACTTCGTTTACAGTTTATCAGAAGCTCAATTGGAATGTAATGCACATTATATATATAAATATATATATATACACGTGTGTGTGTGTATATATATATAATACCAAATAACCTTGGTTTACAGTTTATAAGGAATTGAAGCTCAATTGGAAATGTAATGCACAATATATACATAGAAAATACATATATGTGTGTGTGTGTGTGTAGAGAGAGAGAAGAGTAGGGTCTGAACCTGGATGATGGAGGGGCGGAGGCGGCTCTGGACGTAGCTACAGCGGGAGAACTTGAAGCCTGGGACGAGTTCTTCGGTGACGGCGGCGCCGCCAATGATACTTCGACGGAGAGGCAGGCCCGAGCGAGGTAAGCGGCGGCGGTGAGGCCGTTATGGCCACCGCCTACCACAAGCGCGTCCCATTTCTTCTCCGTCAACGCGCTTGTGGGCCCTGCAATGCTATTGAACCTCCTTCGCCACATTCCTAGTCTTTCAATTCGCGACCATTTTTTTTTTCTTAACTGTTTATTCGTTTATTGATAATTTATTGTTTTATGCTGGATAAATTGACAAGAATGGTCCCATGGTCTAGTGGTTAGGACATTGGACTCTGAATCCAGTAACCCGAGTTCAAATCTCGGTGGGACCTTTCCTTTGTTATATTTTTCTTATAGATCATAATTTTTTGTTTTGGTCAAATTATCTTATAGTCTAACTTCGGATTACTTTTATCATTTAAGGATCAAATTTGATGAGTGTCACTCTTTGGAGTGCAACGTGGGCACTTTTAAAAGTTGTTTGCATTAAAAGTTGAAGGACTTAATTATAATAATTAATAGTTGATGAATACATTTTTCAATATTAAAGAGGTGTTTATAACACTTTTGCCTAATTATTAACATCCACCCATAAACAAGGTTTTTCATTAAAAAAAAATAAAAATAAAAAATACAAACTTTAGTTCATTCTCTGGAGGTTAATAGTTGATGAATACATTTTTCAATATTAAAGAGGTGTTTATAGCACTTTTGCCTAATTATTAACATCGACCCATAAACAAGGTTTTTCATTAAAAATAATAATAATAATAATAATAAAATACAAACTCTAGTCCATTCTCTGGTGGTGGCAAGTAATTGGCAATTAGAAAACTTAACAGATTTCACCCATCATAGGCACTATAAAACATTTACAGTTTAATTAAAAATAACATAAAAGAGTTATTAGTAATGAAAATGGATTCCCACTTTTTTGGAGAGATCTTGTGCAAAGTCTATGCGCCAAATGACGCTGTTTTGGTGCACAGGAATGGAGTCCAGAACAAGTCTCTTATTAGGGCTCTATTGTCTACACAATCTATTTTTTAAGAAGATATTGGTATGCCTAGTCAATGAAATTTCTATCATGAATAGGTCTGAACACTTAAAAAAAATTGCCTAAAAATTGCCCTCTATAAATTGATTTGTTATATTTTCATTGGCCGGGCATACTAATGATATTGTATGTTCGGCTCACCAATACCTACTCCTATTTTTGGGCTCTGTTTGTACACCAAAATGGCTAAGTTTTGACTCATAGGACCTCTCCAATGGATTTTTTTTACATGATTCGTGACAGCATAATTTCTGACTAAACACTCAACATGAAAATAAGAAAAGCAGAAGCTAAGGGCCTGTTTGGTTGGTGTTTTACTTTGGTGTTTTTGTTGCAGGGCTTCATTTCAGGCCCAAAAACATGTTTGGTAGCACTTGTTTTGTTTTAAACAGTAAAAAACAATGTTTTAAACAGTACCAAATTTTGGCCCAAAAGTGAAACACCAAATTGGTGTTTTTTGTTGTTTCAACACTGTAGCCGAATAAAAAGCACTGTAGCGGATGAAACAGACGGCCCAATTTGTTTCAGCTATACAAACATTTTAGGTTATTTTTGCACAAATTTTGTCTCTCCTCGCCCGATACGCTCTCTACGATTCAAGGGCGATTTCCAATCGCCTCCATCTTTATTCTCGTTCTCTACTCTGAACTTGCCTAAATCTACAAGAATCAGAAGTTCAGAACCCATTTATTTCAGTTTATGTATCTGTCTGCAAGAATCAAAACCTATTATCACCAGAGTTTGTAGAGGTATGGTTCTCTTTCTTGATCATCAACCCATTTTTGTATATTTTGTAGTGTTTATCTTATCAAAACCCTAGGATTCCACCGCCCTACCCGCCACTCTCTCCTCATTTCTCTCCCTCTCTAAGCCGTTGTTCATGTAGAGTTATCGTTCTCTTCCTTGATTATCAACCCATTTCTGTACAGCTGTGCAGGCTTGATCATATTGATTATTATTTTTAGGGTATTTTCTGTTTCTTTTCTGTTTCTTTGTCTTCTTGAACTAGTTTTCCAGATTTGTTGTTTTTATTTCTACTAATTACTTGATGCTTTCTTTGCTTTTTGTTTGGTACTATTTCAATTAATATAATAAATTGAAGCATGTACTCAGTAACTTAATGCAAATGATGGAGAATTTTATGATGGAAATTCTTCTAATGCTTTAGAAATTTACGATGTGTTGCCCGCTGAAGAGCTGCTGAACATGTTTCTGAAGAAAATAAACAGAGTGAAAAGTTAGGCTGGTTTGAAGAAAAATAATAATGATTTAAAAGTAAGAACTTGCAAGTAATCTTACACTTTCTGTAATTGACATGTTGGAGATGGTCCTGACTGATCAATTGTAAAGTTGTTGTATGAAAGAGCACTGCATATATTATGATCCTCTTTAATGAGAATAACAATAAGAATTATGTTTCACGTATTTTAGATGATTAACTGAAAGAAATTTAAAATAAATAATAATGGTGTTGTACTTTTGGCTAATGCAACTCAAATTGATATTTTCATCACTCAGATTATATAATAATTAATACGGAGGTCATTTGTTTTAATATGTTATATATCTAGATATGAAAATTTGACATTGGTGATGTCTTGTAAAGTTGTTCACTTGCATTCTTGCATCTAAGATCAGGATGAAGCTCTGAAAATACGATTATAATGTGAATCATTGCATTCAAATTATTTAAATTGCTAATTCAAGAACTTTAACTCAATAGAAAACTGTTTTAGGGAAAAAAATTCGCTTGAGTAGTGAATTAGAGTGCAGATGTATATAATATGGATTGATCCACTTTGTTTGCTTGTACACTTGTATTGTAGCTTAGATAGGTAGCTAAGTGTACTTCAATATTTTATGATGTAATTATTTTCAAAGAGGTGCAATGTCTTTATTTATTTATTTATTTTATATTGTTTTGTTTTTATAATTTTAGGGCATCACAAAGCATGTTAGACAAGGAATCAGAATTGTTTGCATTAATAATTATGGTTATCTCGGCCTTGATCAGAGTTATATGTGGCATAGCACCTTGGACCCTTATTAAATGCAGTACACGTGCTTACAAATTACTTTTGTTATGCATATATTATTTCCTAAAATATATTTTGGCTACTCTTTCAGGCAGATTTGTATCTAGCACCTCAAATTCATGCAGCAATCAAAAGGTTCAACATCTCGCTCAATAATTTACATGCAATTTATAACTCTGTTTCAAGTGATTGCATATAAGTTGCATGTCTGAACTTTAGCATTTCCATGTACTAAATACACGGTTTTACCAAATGAAAGTTGGTTATGCTGTTTATATAAATTATAGTCTTACAGAATAGAATTTTTTTTTCTTTCTCCTTTGATTGAAAGTCGTCTTATATTAGTCATTCATCTCATTTTTATTTCATCTCATCAAAACACTCTCGTTACTTCAAAAGGTATTAAATCAAAACTCTCATTTTGATTAAAAGTTTAACACTTTTTATGTAAAAAAACTCTTGTAGGTCATTTTGAATTCAAAACACTAAATTTCACTCGAAGTTTGTAAGTTTTTACATCAAAACACTATATTTCCTTTAAAGGTACCTTGAAGAAGGTCATTTTTAACCAAAAACACTCGTTTTCACTCAAAGATTCTAACTTTTTATATGAACACACTCTCGTCCTACAAAGGTACCTTGAATATGGTTATTTTTAACTCAAATATCTCATTTTCACTCCTAGTTTATTACATTTACATCAAAACACTCTTGTTTCTATAAAGGTACCTTGAATAAAGTCAATTTTAACTCAAAACTCTCATTTTCACGGTAAGTTTCTAACTTGTCACATTAAAACACTTTAAACACAAGTATTGATTGTAATGGCTTGTTGCACATTACATAATTTCATCAAAAATCAGCATCAGCCTGATGACATATTTGATGGTAATGATCCTCCTCAAAGTGATGGTGAAGATGATGAGATTGTTGAGCATGTGCCTTCGGCTCAGCTTCGAGAAATGGATCAGTTGCGTAATACTATTGCTGATCAAATTTGGAATTCTCTTCAGCACTCTTGATCCTTCTGAAAGTGATGGTATATTTTTTCTTTTATATGTAATATATTTGTTGCTATTGTGAGCTTGCAATATATATATGTAATATAAATCTTTTTTACAGATATATAATTCAACTTAAATGCTATTATTGCAGATATGAAGTGTGTTGATGCTCTCTTGAAGGCCACATGTGCTGTTATGAAGATGATGTGTCGTTGCCATTGCATCCACTTTATGAACTTCTTATCAATTTTTAGTGACAACTATGTATTATTAATGCTTTGTTCCAAACATTTTATGTACAACTTAAACTTGTTTAATTTGTTGGTTGAATATTTAAGGACTTGTAAATGTTATACATTCTATTTCAATTATGCTTTCAATTGAGTTTGTTTTTATTTTAATGTTGTGTTGGACTATACAGGTATTAGGATAATAAAATTGAATTAGGTTATTGCAAAGAACTTGTAAATAGGTTATTGCAAATTTTTTTTACAAATATTGACTCTCATGTAGTATTGTCAAATGTGACTAGAGATTATTTATTTTAAATGTTGAGTTGGACTATACAGGTATAATCATAATAAAATTGAAGCAGGTTATTGTAAAGAACTTGTAAATAGGTTATTGCAAATTTTTTTACAAACGTTGATTCTCATGTAGTATAGTAAAATGTGACTAGAGATTATTTATTTTTAATATTGAGTTGGACTATACATGTATAATGATAATAAAATTGAAGTAGGTTATTACAAATAACTTGTAAATAGGTTATTACAAAAATTAATATATATATAATTTGGTGGGGGTTTACATTTTTTTACAAAAGAGAAGGCAAGAATCTGTATTTTGGAGTTAAATTTCTACCAATGCAGACTTATAAGAGTCGAAAATTATTATCAGCGCTGTGTAGTATTTTTTTTTTCTTCTTTCGCTAATGCGAAAAATGAGCAAAATGAATGAAACACAAACCTATGGACAATCATCACCAAAGGAACAAACTATACCAGGAAATTTCAAATAACTTAAAGTGTAGTTTCAGATCAAGATAACATGCTCTGTGTGTGTGTGTGTGTATTTGTGTGTTCAAATTTTAATATATTTATTAAAAATATATAGACTATTTATATAGAAATAAATTTATAAATAAATTTAAAATTTATAAAAATAAATTAAAAACAATGATAACCAAACATGTTTTTTGTTTCTGTTTTATTTTGTTTACAACAGTTAGAGCTACCAAACATGTTTTGTTTTTAAAATTCTTGAAACGCATGACTTACCAAACATGTTTTGCATGTTTTTGTTTCCGACATTTTTACAGTAAAAGATCGTTCCCAAACATGCTTCCGATTTTTGCCAAAACACTCTAATAGTAAAAACGCTATTTCTGTTTTAGTCAAAAACAAAACGCCTAAAGTAAAACGCATGCCAAACGGGCCCTAAGTAATTAACATTTTTATTTGACTTTTGTGTTAGTGTTTGAGAATTATATTTTAAAAGAGTTTTTTAATATCAGAAGAAATTGTTTGTCTGTTTGGTAAAGCTCGTGTATTATTCAAATAATAATTTTGTCTTTAGATGAAATTATTTTTATTTTTTCTTTTTCGGACCATTTAGAAACATAAAACAGTTTAACCTATAATTTAGAACTTATTATACTTCCCTATTGCACTTTACCATCGAATAAAAAATAATAATAGTAATTTCGGAAATAATAATAATAATAATAATAATACTTGAAAAGTAGATACAAAAAATGTACTTTAAAGACAATTTTGGAAGTGTAAAAAGTGCATTGAAAAGACCATCCGTCTCAATTCGCAAAAATAGTTGTGCGTTTGCATTTATTTTATTTTATTTTCTTTCTTAATTTTGTCAAGTTGATTTTTTTATTAGCTATTTATTTAATTTAATTTATTTTTTTCGCGTGTGCTTCCCGCTAATTGTAAAAGGATAAAGTTGTTCCATTCTTGTAATTCACTCTCCATACACACACCTGTTCAAGAGCTGCGAGAGATATGGCCATACCCAACACGCCATTCAAGGTTACATTATCCTCATTCATCCTCCAAGTTCTTCAATTTATTTTCATTTTTACTTTCTTTATTTAAATTATGTTTGAATGTTTCGATGTAATTTCTCATGAAGGTAATTTTAGGCTCATCATCAATGGCTCGTCGAGAGATTTTGTCTGAGATGGGCTATGAATTCACAATCATGGTATTTTTCTGAACGAAGCATAATTAAATTTTCTTTTATCAATTTTAATTTTAATTGTTATTTGTTGACTTGAAAGACCAGAACATTAATTTGGGTTATAGATTTAGACTGCAGACATAGATGAGAAAAGTATTAGGAAGGAAAAGCCAGAGGAATTGGTAATGGTTCTAGCTGAAGCAAAGGTATGACACCATGACTGTTACTATTAGCCATTATATATATAAATAAATATGTATGTGTGTGTATAGACATACACATACACGGTCCTTATGACTGAGGAAGAAGTGGGTAAATGACTAAATGGTAATCAGAACTTTGTGCTGCTTTATCCTTTTCAGGGTTTGAGTTTACTTAGTTTTCTTCTTGTTTGAGCTCTATGAATTAGAGCTAATGTCATATAATGTGAATTTTTTGATGCAATTATTTACATGGTGTTGCGAAATAAAACAGCAAAACAGATCAAACACACACTAGGGCAACATAACAAGCATGGGAATACCAAAATACATCCCAAAAATTAGTGAAATTGGGCCTTGATGTACTGTATTTATCATGCTCCACACTACCCATCACATGGTATTCATATTATTAGGAATTAAACTGGTGGATTGCGGAGATATGTCTTAATTAGCAACTATTGGGAGTAAAATTGGTTAATTCAACTTTAACACAAATGTCACTTGTACAACCTGAAAATATGACCTTTATTAACCTGTCGAAGTATGAAATGGTGTCAGTTCTTATTACAATCACATTAAAAGTGAAGTTGGTATGTTTTTAAACAACATCCCAAAACTAATACAGTAACATTTGAATGTCTTTTTATTTATTTATTTATTTTAAAAAAGGAGGTATGCTTTCTTTAAATTGTGTCTAAATAAGCAGCAAGTTAAATAAAACTTCCTCAAATTTCAATTCTTCATTTTTCATGAATAACTGTAGGAATTGCAGTGATTTAAATCATGAGAAGCTCCATATAGATTGCGATATTCTCCAGGTTTCTTCAACCAATTCCCTAGACCTAAATTGGCTATTGTTATCCTTTTTCACATGGAAATGATTTTTGAAAGATTTGTGTCCCTTGGTTATGTAAACACTCTCTTTACTTATGTGATTCAATAATCGATATAAAGGCCCTAACAATAGAAATATGGTTCAGACGAGATGGCCTAAGAAGGCAATACTACCTTATACAAACACCCATGAATGCCCACTATGGGCCTTGAACCCCCCTCACCCCCCCTTTGCGCGAGGAGGGGGTTCCGTCTGTCTTCTTACTTCCCATGTACTGGTCATTTACTCTGAAGATGGTTCTTTGAATCTCTACTCTTACTTACTATGTGTTTCTCTTAGTGGAATGACATCCAAAAATTTACTTTGACACACATTGCAATTTGCAAAACCTAATAAACATCTATTTCAAAAACTTTTCAAAGCTGCCATATTTTTGTATGTGATTGACTAGATTAAGAATGTTAGGAGCTTTTTGGAGTTCTCCAATCTGTTAAAAGAAGTGTTTGATCTTTTTAAAATATTGGATGGATGTGTATTTGGATTATTATTTCAGCCAATCTTGATGCATTTTCTCTTATAAGAGGACTAGCAATGTGGAAATGCATGCCATTTAGTGTCTTTCTTAAGCGTAGTGATATGAAATTCGCTTTGCTGGTCTGTGATAGGTTTTATTTGTATTTTCATTTCCTTCTAAGGACTAATTCTCTTCCTATTTATACATATGTGTGTGTGTGTGTGTGTGTGTGTGTGTATATATATATATTTTTTTTTTCTTTCAAAATTTTTTGTTTCTTCTTCTCACTTTTGTTTTTGCAGTGAGAGACTTCTGCATGTTTCCTCTTTCATTTGTTTAGCTATATATATATATATATATATATATATATATATATATAAAAGCATGATTTGAGTAACACAAAGCCAGAAAGAAGAGACTTACATTGTTGAACATTGGGATCCGAAGTCAAGTGAAAAACCACTCGGGCACCGATTGTGAAGACATGCTTCAGCTATAGGAACATAAACACTTCCACGGACAGTTAATTCACCATGTCCATGTTGCCAATGTGAAGATTGAAGAGGAATGGGAGACTGCCCGAGTGGTTTTTCACTTGACTTCGGATCCCAATGTTCAACAATGTAAGTTTCTTCTTTCTGGCTTTTATATATATATATAAAAGCATGATTTGAGTAACTCAAAGCCAGAAAGAAGAGACTTACATTGTTGAACATTGGGATCCGAAGTCAAGTGAAAAACCACTCGGGCAGTCTCCCATTCCTCTTCAATCTTCACATTGGCAACATGGACATGGTGAATTAACTGTCCGTGGAAGTGTTTATGTTCCTATAGCTGAAGCATGTCTTCACAATCGGTGAGTAAAGCAAATCGTGTTTGAGGTTTTCAACAATGACATTGGTGGAGAAGGAAGAAAATCAAGGACAAACGACATTCATTTTAATGCAATAATCAAGTTTAAAGTTAGGCTCCCTTAGTCTGATTGCAATGGAAGTCCACTTTCCTGCTGAGTAGTTTTGTCCGCTTTCTCATGACTTGTGTTTCAGTTACCTTTGTCTGTTGCACTGATCGCAATTATGCAAAGATTGCGGTTCTTTTTCTTTTCTTTTTCATAGTTCCTGTATGGAAGCTAATTTCTCCTCTCTTCTTCCTCCAAATTTATTTCGCATATTTAATCAAGACGCTCATCTTACTATTTCGAAGAGTGGGTTTGATTATAGTGTCTTACTTTCGTTAAATTGGAATTTCTTCTAGGCAGATGCCATTTTATCAAGGCTCCAAACTACTGGTCATTTGGAAGAGGATGCTTACTCAACACTTCTAATTACTGCAGACACAGTATGCTTCTATTTGTTCTTTTACTTATTCGCTGATATCAGTTTACTTATTTTGACGTAATATATAGCCATTTTTCGCAGCAAGAACAGCTGATGTTAAGTAATACTGTAAAAGCATGCTAAAGTGGAGGCAAGGGCATGTTGCTCGCATTGTGTTTTAGCATTATGCTGAAAAATACAAAGGAGTGGCGAATTGTTACACTAAGAATTGCAAACAAAATCAATTTAATTTTACTTTATTTTTTTAACAGAAGGTAATTTTGCACCAAGCAAAGGAAAAGTAAAGACATTCTACTAATTTTTTTATAAATTGATGGTTGAGAATTTCAAGAACTTCATGTTATGAGGAGGACATGGTAAAACAAACCCAAATGATCATCAGAGCTGAGAACATCACAGTTTCCCAAAAGGAAGAATAAATTAGAGAATCACATTTAATGATTATCTACCATATCCTCATTGGAAATCCAATTTTAGCTTCTTGCATGCTCCTTTAAATCCATGTATTCATGATGGGGAAAGGGAAAAGCTGGAGTTGATTGCCGGTAGTGCTTCCTTTTCAATTATGGTGGGAGATTTAGGTCTCTAAGCCTTGACCGTATAAGAATGAATTTATTATCAAATTGAAGATACAATGTCATAGAACATATTTATATTACTCATTATTGGATTTTGACATAATAACTTCTCTCTTTTCATGGCCTCCATCTTTTAAGGTACCAAGTGTAAGAATTGTTACCCAAAGATTTTGATTTCATCAAATTAATTATTTTAGATATTGTTGTACATGCATCAACTTATTATAAGATGACTCGTAATGTTATGGATCCTGTTCTAGCATTGCAGCTAAATAAGGGACATTTCTATTGACACCATACTTATATAACCATTGTTGCCTTCTAATGAATAAAAATATGGAAAATCTTTCCAATGGAAGAAAAGGGAAAAAAGAAGAGGAAGGAAGAAAATTGTAGTTTGTAGTTATTTTCACCTCATTAACTACTATTTCTTCACAAAATTCTAGGTGGAGTTTTTGTAAGGGTGTCAGGAAAAATGTTTTTAAGAGATTAGTGAACAGGTTCTCTGTTACAATATAAGTTTGTCGATATCTCGTATCCAATTTGCTTTCTCATCATGTCATGGGCCTCATGCCTGACATATTCTTTGTCTCCTAGATTAACTGGTCTGGGGATGGACATTATTTTGGGGTTGCATCTCACTGCTAAATCTAATTGATATTGAGGTGGTGGTCTATGAAGGGATAATCAGAGAAAAACCGTCCAGCAAGGAAGAAGCACGCCAATTTATCAAAGGTTTGCCTAATTGTTGGGTTCCCCACCAACTTATTCCACTACATTCATCAATTAGCTTGATCTAGTGGTAAAATCCATTTAAATTGCAGGCTATTCTGGTGGTCATGCCTCAGTGGTGGGATCTGTACTGGTAATAAACCTTAGGACGGGTACAAGAAAAGGAGGCTGGGAGAGGGCAGAGGTATTTTCTTCTCATGCATGTATCTAATTTTTGACTCTCATCAAACAGTTGCGATTGAAGAGGTTTGCATTCATATAAGCTTCAGTGCATGTCAACACATTATAGATTAATCCTATGTCCTTTGTTTTATCTATCTGAGGCTATCTATTTTCGAGCTTGCAACTCACTGGACTTGGGACCATTTGATCACACTCCTCTTAATTCCTTGTCATGTTTGCATGGTTGAAATTATAAGCATATTGCATCTGTCCATAGGTTTCCTGAATCAGTGATGCACAACTTCATTGATTAGATTTATCAAATCAACAAACTGATAAGCACGCTTTTCCAATTTGCTCAGTTCACATGGGTCGGATTTAGTAATCCACACAGTTTTCTTTTTTGAAAAATGACCACATGCCCTATTTATGTTTTGCTGATGTTAATATGTTGGTGTCATATATTCCAAGGAAGCAAGGAAATTACGTGTTGTGGTATTGCTTGAATTGCCTGAGGCTTCCTCTTTAACGAATCGATACCCGGTTTCCTATGAAGAGGAAATCCCTTCGTAGTAGCTGCCACCAAAAGTGAGAGTTAACCATCACTCTGACAAAGTGGAAGCTGAAAATAATAAAATCTCGCGCAGATTACAAAGCAAAAGCTTCAAACTCAAAAGAGTTATAATATTTCTCTCAATTCTTCATTTCAATTATTTGTTTTCTCTTCAAAATTCCATCCTTTTATAGGGAGTTACAACTGGCTAAACAATAAATGCATAGGACACTTTTTTCTTACTTCAAATTCCAAAGATGAGCACCAATTCATAAGCCGACCTATCGCAACACCTTCATGCCTCAATTCTGGCATTTTTACACAAACACATTAAATGCACCCAAGAAACATTCAACCAATTATCAACTTGGTTTTCATGTTCACTATTTACTTTTCCTATACCAATCTCATGCTTTGCACTATTTCACCTGCAAAAACTACTTCACCACCACCACCACCACACACACACACACATTGTCCTACATCGCACTCTGTTTAATTTTCTGTGCAGACTAATCCTGGCTTGTGTAAGCAATGGTGTTGCTAGTACTGAACTATTTAAAACGGGGTGCTGTCTCGGTACGCTTAAGATATTTCCTTACCTGGAACTTTTGCTCACCTTGGAGTAACTGTACCGTATACGGATATGATTATATGTATCTGATGCTTCAAAGGAATGGAAAAATATTTGCACAGTAGACAAATCTGAGGGCACACATCCACAGTGAACATTCATAACATAATTCGACTTAACAGGCATATTTTCATATTATCCTAGAAAAAACTTGTTCTTTAATTTTCCCAATAGTTTCTTGTGTCTTATGTTCAATAATTTAGAATGATTCCTGTTAAATTCTTTGAACTTGATGTTTGTCATAATTAAGTTTGAAAATCAGTTTCTGGTGGTGTTGTGATGCAGGTTTATTTCCATGACATACCAGCTGAGGTCATTGATAGCCTGGTAAATTTTGCAAAGATATCTTTATGTATTTTTTCCCCTAGTTTATCTTTATGTATTTGATTTTTCGTCATTGCCTATTTTATAATAATGGGGTGTTATGCTCAGATTGAGGAAGGAATCATTCTCAACGTTGCTGGCGGTTTGATGCTTGAACATCCACTGACACTACCCTTGGTTGATACAGTGGTTAGCTCTCTCGGATTTATTGTTGCGTGTGATAAAAGTAAAATTTTCAAAGATATGTTAACAAGGACATTAATAGCTCATCAGAAGTTCCTAAACCAGCTCTTCTAACAGTCCTATTAAGTTTTTCGTAATATCTTCCACCAACTAGAGTATCATATGTTTTTTTTCTTCTTTTCTTAATTTATTCTTTTTGTTACCGGAATTCACATCCCAAAAACTGTGTAGATTATTAAAACCATCAATGTCATGGCAGAAGAGAATTAGCTCGCTTCCATTTAAAAGATTTTATGTATTTCTCCTGACTTCGGTTGTTGATTGCAATTGTTTTTCAGATAGGGACTGCTGATTGTGTTATGGGACTTCCTAAAGCTCTCACAGAGAAGCTCATCCAGGAAGCTCTCTGAAGCTGATGCAGTTGCACTGATCTTGACCTCATTTCATGTCCTATTGGTGTCATTTCACCTAATTTCATGTCCTATTGGTGTTATTTGAGCTGGAGAGTACTCTACATTCTTCTGAATATTTTAGCCATAACATTTCAAGTTGGGGGCATAATTTCCTATGTTTGCTTGGTTTTAGTCTTAAGTTTTTTTGTATTTGTTTGTCAATTTTAACATGCACTGTTGTGATCTAACACTCACTAAGATCAACTATGATGATGATTGCTGTTGTATGTTATAATCAAAACAATGTTGCACATTTGTAACTGCCTCTGAATGGTTTTTGTTTTGTGAAATTATAAACATTATGACTACTTTCATAGTTTGGTTGAGCTTGGTTGGATTACCAAGTGGCTTATGAACGAGGGCTATCTAATAATTTTTCATGTTCACACACCCTTTAGGGTGTGGACAATTGCTTTTAGATACTCGCAATCACTCCAAATCGACGATATGCAGATAAGTCCAGAGCAGGCACATATGCATCCAAGAGTTGGACACAAGGCCTCTCAGTTATGCCAAAAAGAATTATGCCAACTTTGCGACACAGTGAATATTTGGTCAACAATTTTTCGCAAATTATTATTTTATATATGGTGGGAAAAAAAAAAAAGAAAAAAGAAAAAAAGAACTCAAATCTTTATATGAAAATATTGTTGAATTATGTTTAGAATTACTCAAAATTGTTTTTCAAGAGAATATAATCAAATAGGCTTTTTATGAATTCGAGTCCCATCAAATAAGAGTTAATTAATGTTAGATTTGTGGCTCAAAATTTGTGTGCAGAAAATTAGTTTCTTTTTTTGTTTTGGAAGGCTAAAATTTGTTGGGGAAATTGTATTCCATTATGTTTCTATTTTAAAGTTTTGATCATTATGGTAGCTCCTTGTAGGCAAGTTGGGGAATACTTGTCCAACAAGAAATTGGGTTTGAAAACTTTATAAATAGAGATGGGTGTGAGGGGTTTAGAGAGAGAGAAGAGAGAAAAGATGTAAGGGGTTTAAGGGTGAGTGTTGTGAGGAGATGAGTGAGTATATGTAATTCCCGAATGTATACATGTAGTCTCAAAATAGATGATGAGTGAGTGAGTGGGGTTTTGACATGTAGTTCTACATTCTCTTCCTTGATTTATAATAGTGAAATCCCTTTCTCTCCCACAAATGTAACCTTAGAGTTGGGTGAACCATGTAAATATTGTGTTGTGCATTGATGTGTGTGATTGTTATCTCTATATATGCTTGTGTTGATGTGATATAATGATGCTTCCACTGTGTGTGATGAAAGAGGGATTTAACTCTCAACAACAACCGATCGTTGAGTGGGTTGGAGGGAGTTAATTATTCCCAACAATTGGTTTTAGAGCCGATGGTGGGTTAGAGCATGTGATTGATCCTAAAGATTAGCAGAAGAAGATTGTTGCGAAGTTTGTCAGAGTAGAAGATGATCGTGAGGTGCTATGGAGATTCAATCAGAGATGATGATGACACGAAGGTATGAAGAAGGTGATACTATTAAGCCCATGAGGAATAAGTCTTAGGATAAGCTGGATGATGCTCGTTTTCAAGATGGGGCAAAGGTGTGAAGAATGAAGAGGTTTGTTCTAAGCCCAATAAAGAGCAAAAGGGAATATGAAGAGTGAAGAGGAGAGGTTTGTTGCTTTGAGTCAGAAAAGCAATTGATGAAGATGAGTTGAAAATTAGTGGATAGCCATGCGTGAGCAATTGAACACCAATGGGATAGATAGGAAAAAAAAAAAAAAAATGATGAAATTTGAGAAAATGTGGAGATTGTAGTGTTTCTCAAGTTTATCATAGGGTTTTTGTTCGAGGTAGAGAAATCTTTAATTGAGATGGAGCTATGAAAAGATCCTTGTTCTAGGTGGAGGTATGGAGAAACATGTGAAGATTGAATTTTGAGTCAAGGTGGAGATTGTTGGGTTTGTGGCTCAAAATTTGTGTGCAAAAAATTAGTTTCCTTTTTCGTTTTGGAAGGCTAAAATTTGTGGAGGAAATTGTATCATATTGTGTTTCTATTTTAGAGTTGTGATCATTATGGCAGCTTCTTGTAGGCAAGTTGTGGAATACTTGTCCAACAAGGAATTGAGTTTGAAGACTCCATAAATAAAGATTGGTGTGAGGGGTTGAGAGAGAGAGAGAGAATAGAGAAAAGAGAAAAGATGTTAGGGGTTTAAGGGTGAGTGTTGTGAGGAGATGAATGAGTATATGTAATTCCCGAGTGTATACATATAGCCTCAAAATAGATGATGAGTGAGTGAGTAAGGTTTTGACACGTGGTTGTATATTCTCTTCCCTGATTCATAATAGTGAATCCCTTTCTTTGATGGATGTAACCCTTGAGTTGGGTGAACCATGTAAAACATTATTTTGTGCGTGGATATGTGTGATTGTTATTTGGGTTAATTATACTCACACCCCCGAGGTTTGCATTATTGACAGGCAGATGATAGTTGGCTTTTTTTTGAACACTCACACCCCCTCTCAAAAATTGCTGCCAAAAAGACCATAAAAAGGTATAAAAGATGCCATTGCCCTTCAATAGAATAATAATTTCTTAATCCAAATATCAGAATATTTGCGTGACCGAAATACCTCCATTATTATTTTCCACGTTTTAGGGCACCTGTCATTACCCTCACCTACCGCCATTGCCCCCCAAAAAAACACGGCCGCCACCTCTTAACCTCCTATACACCATCACCACCATGGCCACTGCCACCTCTTCCCACGATGGCCACCCTGTGAAACCGCCACCTTGAGGGTAATCGACGAGCAACAAGGTATGATGTGGAGTTCCATATTAGTCCAGGTTGCGTTGAATTTGGGCCCTGTAAGTCTCAGATTGTCATCGTCGACGGGATGGGGATGGTATCGTGGGGTTGGATCACTCCTTTTCCGGCACCAATCGCCATTGGAATGGGCTCACGCACCCCTCCATCGTCGCGCGTGGGGTTGCACCCACTTGTGCACTTCATCTTCTTACCCAGTGAACCCAGAAGAAGCTTTGCAACGATTTTTCCACTCCAACTACCACTCCAAATTCACCACCAACTTAACGTTAACGAACCAAGTGTTGGAAATTCAAGCAATTTATAGAATTTCTGTGAGATTATGTGATTCTCTTTCAATATGGGATTTGTATATTTGTATATATATATATGAGATTTATTCTTACATGTATGTGGATTTTTATTTGCAATTATGTGGATTTGGATGGTGATTAGGTTGGATTTGATAATGTATATATGGGTGGTCGTGGGGATGTGGAGTGGTGATGGTGGTGCGTGTGATACAAGGGTTTGAAGGCTGATTTCACCCACATTTTTTACTGACATGTTTTTGCATATAAGGGTAGTTTGGTTTAATTAATGAATTATAAAGGTTAACATGTAATTCTATGATCCAAACAAGTCCACTACCAAGTCAAAGGGCAATATTGTCAATTCACCGTATCAGATGTGGCAGATGGGTACCTTTGTTAACTTTATTAAACCTAAGGGGTGGTCAATGTTCAAAAATGGACTAACTTTCATTTAACTGTCAATAAGACAAACCTCAGGGGATGTCATTGTAATTAACCCTTGTTATTTCCATATATGCTTGTGTTGATATGATGTGATGATGCTTTCACTTTGTATGATGAAAGAGTGATTTAACTCTCAACAATAGCCGATCGTTGGGTGAGTTGGAGGAAGTTAATATTTTCTCAACAATTAATTCAAGAGGAGCTTAGTTAATTTTAAGTTTGAAATTGAATTTTTAGTTAATTTCAAACTTGTTCTTGAGTTCAAACTTTGTGAGAGGAACTCTTTAAATTTTGGGCTCAACTCAATCAGTTAATTAACAATTAGAATTTGACCGGGCCCGAATTATTTGTACTTCGCAAACACGAATTGTCACGCCTATCGATATGCAAAATCAAGATTATAAATTAAATAAATACATTAAGGCTAGAATTTGATTTTATCACGGCTCAGGCCTCGAACAACATGTAGAATGCAAAGAAATTTTGGAAGTCAATTTTGATAGTTAATTAGCATGACTTCGACCCGGCCCGAATTATTTGGACTACCCACGTTTTGTTAAGTATTAGAGAATTTCTTTCTTTCTATTTGTTAACTACTAGCACCATCTACTTGTTGAATTGGGTTGAAATAAGCTCATAAATGATTGAAATATAAGCTTAAGCTATTTCATGGTGAAATACCATTCCTGATGGTATTTATAGCCAAAAGTTATAAAAAATCTAGAGTTTTAAATGTTCTATAGTTTTTTTGCAAATTTAATAGTATCAATTTGGTAGATATTTTAAAATTTTATTTCTTAAAAAAATAAAATACTAGGGTTAATTACAACGACACCCCCTGAGGTTTGTCGTATTGACATACATATATAAGTTAGTCCTTTTCTGGACAATGAGACCCCCTAAGTTTGCAAACTTGAACAATAACACCCTATTTTAAAAAAAATGGTGCCAAACACAGTCTTAAGTAACATGAAATGTCTAATATGCCCTAAGGTATATTTTAATCTCACCTAAAATGACCAAACTACCCTCTCATCTCATCTTTCTCTTTCATCTCTCTTTCACAGACAAACATAGCTTTAATCTCATCTTTTTCTCAATGTCTTGTGGAGTGGTGGCATAAACTGGGTAATAGATCTTTTTCTGTGTCTTTTAAGTTCTGAAATTGGTGGAGGTTATATATACATATATATTATAGTTGTTATCAAAGTTTAGGGGTTGATCTTTTCTGGTCTGTTGATCCCCGTTCTGGATGAATGGTGGAGCAGAGGAAGAGTAGAGAGTATGCGCCGAGAATCAAAACCCCAATTCTGAAATATGGGGCTTTTGTAATGCAAGACCAAACCGAACTCTGCTTACCGGCGAAACGAAGGGTTGTTTAACGTCGTAGGAGACGAAGGGTTGTAAATTTACAAATTATATATATATAGATAGACACATACATATATATATATAGATACACACACACACACACACACAGATATATATATACAAACAAGCACAACACCAAAACCGGCGAGGATCTCGGCGCAGGAGATGGTGGCGCATCAGGCGAAGGAAACAACGGCGGGGCAGGTGAGCCATTATGGTGACGGCTCCCGGGCAGCGACGACAATGATATCGGCACAGGAGATGACGGCAGGGCAGGTGAGATCGAGGGCAGTCTTGGAGGGAGAGGTTGATGTCGGACCGGTGAGGCACCAAAGATTTCTGAAATTGGTGGTATGTCGGTGACGTTTTTTAGAGAGAGAAAGGGGAAATTCTGAAATTCGTCGTCGC